GGGCTTTCTCTAGTTGTGGTGAGCGGGGGCTACTCTTTGTTACAGTGCACTGGCTTCTCATTGCGGTGGCTTCTCTTGTTGTGGAGCACGGGCTCTAGGCACACGGGCTTCAGTAATTGTGGCTCGCGGGCTCTAGAGCACAGGCTCAGTAGTTGTGGCACACGGGCTTAGTTGCTCCGCAGCATGTGGGATCTTCCCGGACCAGGGCTCGAACCCATGTCCTCTGCACTGGCAGGCGGATTCTTAACCACTGCTCCTGTGGTGTCTTTTTAACAGTATTCATGTTGCCTCTTCCCAGAGCCCACCAGGCAGTGCATGAAAAACACTTCCTCTAAGCCGGACGCCCACAGCTAATCCTGAACTTGACGCTGTTCAGGCCAGCATGAGCTCTGATCAGACAGGCCTGGGTCAAATGGGGCTCTGTCACTCTCCAGCTGTGTGTTCTCAGAAAGCCTATTTAACCTCTCTGAGTCGCATCCTCCCCACCCATGTGAAAGGGGATGGATTCAATGAGATACTGCATTGGAAGTACTTGGCACGGTGTTCAAACACAGCAAGCACTCAACAGACGGTAGCTGACATGTGATGACACCAGAGCACAGTCGCTCTTGAGTCAGACTTCCAGGTCCATGCCCAGCTCACCACTCACCAGCTGTGTGCCTGTGGGCATTTATAACTTTCTTATGCCTCAATGTCTTTATCTGTAAAATGGAGATAATGATTCATAGAGTTACTGTAAGGATTAAATGAGATAATACATCACATTTGGAACAGTGCCTGGAACACAGTAAGAATTTAGTAAGTGTTGAGGTGTTATTATTTCATCCTTTAAATTTGAATTTTTTTCTATTTCTATATTTAGGGTACATTGATTATTAGTAGCATGTAGTTTGCATTGTGTTGTTTTAAAAATTTAGTCTTTGTCTTTTTAAAAAAATCAGCTTTGAGGTATAATATACATACAATAATAGTCACTCATTTCAGGTGTACAATTCAGTGAGTTCTGTGAAATACCTGCAGTCATGTAACCACTACCATGTTTCTCTCTTCTGTGGAATCTTGGCACCTTGACCCCTCAAGTTCTTGCTCCCTCGGTGATTCTTCAATGCCTTCATATTTCCCCCTAGCTTTTCTAGCTGTCATTGGCTGGTTTGGTGTGACACAAGTTAGTCTGCAACTGCTGGAAACGAAGCCCTCTGTCCTATTGTTATTCTCCCACTAGAATTATAGAGTCAAAATGAGCGTTTAGAACAGTTCAGTTCCTGGCACGTTGCAAAAATCTCAATAAGTAAGTTCTTCTTCTTCTCCCAGTAGAATCCCAGGGTCATGTTGAGCTGAGCTGTTAAAAATCAACCCCTTCCACACCTTCTACCCTTTCCATACATTTTATAGATAAACTAATATCACACTGTATGACTGGACTCCAGTGCAATCAGACTCCCGTGGGAGGCTGTATTTGGACTCCAGTGGATTCCTGGATGGTTTCCTGTCCCTAGTCTGGGAGGTGTCATTGTGCTCTCCTTCCCCAAATCAGGGCATGGAAAACCTTAGGGCCCAGTTCACTTCTCAGCTCAAAAGGAAACAAGCCAGGGACTGTGGCTTCACAGACGCACCTCTCTCCCTCTCCTCTTGCGGGGCCCAGACCTCCAGCCATGACCACACGTTTGGAGCAATCTTCTTTCATTCAGAATCCCAGACATCTCATGTTTTCCTCCGGAGCTGAGTGCACACGTGTGCATGCACATGTGCACACACACACACAAACACACACACCCACACACACACATAGGAACATGTTCACCAGCAAGTGTGCATGTACACAGTACCATACACAGTTTGGAAGGACGCACAGTCCAGGTGAGACCAGGCAGCAGAGGTGGAGATGAAAATTGCTCTGCATTGAATGCTGGTCCCTTATTCCAGGGAACAGAGAGAGAGAGGCAGCCCTAAGCAACAGGCCAAAGGTCAGACCAGGCCAAGGGCAGAGAAGGCTGGGCCTGGAGCCCAGCCACCACCCCCTGCTGGCCAGGACTCGGTGCTGGGTCCCCAGGGTCAGCTCAGTGAACTCCTGTGTGGCCCTAGCAGGTTATGGAAAGAACATGACCTGTTAGAGAACCGTGACCCGTGGCTTGGCTGTGAGCGGGTACTGCAGCCCCTGACTTGGTGGAGGTGTGGGTGTGAGTATGCACTTGCGTGCGTGCATGTATGTGCGTGTGTGTGTGACGTGCCTCTCTGTGCATACTGGGGGGAGTGGGGGGCAGGTTTTCATGCTGTGCTCAGCCTCCAAACTCAGAAGGAATGCCCCAGCCTGGGGAGGTTTTAAACTGATTTTAGATAATTTGGCTCAATAAAATCCATTAATTTTTGCCTGGTTTAGAAGTAGTGCGTGCTCATCGTAAAAAAATGAATGTGGAAAACAGAAAAAACATGGTGTCAAAAGAAAAAAAAAATGAAAAGCACCTGTGCTCCCACCCCTAGAGATAATCACCGTTGACATTTTGGCAGAGTTGCGATTACGTGCACATACGGTGTTCTTTTCTCCCTTCTCGCTGAATCTGCAGAGAGCACTTTCTCACGTTATTCCTCTTTGCAAACCTGTTTGAAGGCCTTGTACTGTTGTGTTGTTGCACCATAATTTACTTAACTTGTCCCCAAATGTTAGACGTTCAGGTGGCTTCCAGTTTGTCCCTACTGTGGAAAACCCGGGGTGAATGCACGCTTCATGTTTGTGCGTGAAGTGCTGAGAAGTTCTGCCTAAAGGCGCCATCAGAGTATGTGTGTGTTGGGGGGTTGATCCAGGCGAGGCTATGTGGCTTGGGCTTCCGAGGCTCAGCTGGGTGTACTTTGGCCAAGAGAGGGTGGCTGGTAGGAACAGGGGGGTGAGCTGGGACACAGCCACTCCTGCCTGCCCTGGACAAGCACCCCGCAAATGCCCCTATGGTCTTCAGAGCTCCAGGGCCTGATTCCTGGACACAAGTATCCCTCCTTTGCTTCTGGGGGATTAGAGCTTGGCCTCTTGGTGAGGCAGAGCATGGGGCAGGGGTGAATATGATGCATTAATCTGTTCCGAGGGCCCTAGGGTTGGTCTCCCCAGCCCTACTCCCTCAGAAAGGCCCACGTGGATGGAAGCGCAGAGGGTGGGCGAGGTGAGCAGGGGCAGGGCCGGGACGGGGGCAGCCCAGGGGGAGTGGGAAGCTGGGCAATAACTGCTTGGCTCCACGGCCCATTTGGCAAATAGACGTGTTGCCTTTCCTTTGCCTCCCTCGACCTGCTGGAGGGGCCATAGCGGGGAAGGTGAAAACTGCACTCACTGGGGGCTGAGTGTGCTCACCTCTTCCTGACTATTGAAGAAGACAGGGAGTGAGGGGATTTCATTTCTGAGGGACCCCTTGAGGCTATGGGATCACGGTATATTAGTGCCACTATCACATCAATGGCTGTTTAATCCAACCCCTCTTGTTACAGATGGAGAAAATGACTGTAACTGTGCCAGGTCAAAAAGCTAACGGGGGCGGAGCAGGAATGGAAACTCAGCATACCTAACTGAGTACATGTGCCTATGGTCACATGTCCTTTGGCTCCACATATGTGGGTCACATCTGCTGGTGGAGGCAGGCTGTGACAGGGGCTCCGAAGCTGCCCTTGGGGGTTAGAGAGACTAGACCTGCTGGGAATATGCCCCAAGGAGCCCAGGCGTAAGCGTGGCCCTGTGAGGCCTCTGCCTTAGGTGCCCAGCTCCCCCACCAGCAGGAAGGAGCCCTTCCACGTCACTACAGTCCAAGGGCTCCCTCCCTGCATGTTTGCCCTCTGGAGAGGAAGGAGAGAGAAGTAGTGAGGCCCCTGCATTTGTGAGCAGCCCCGAAAGTAGTGACCTAAGCTTCCCCACTTCCCCAGTCCCTGTATGTGGAGAAACTTCTGCCACAGCTGGTTAATGCACCCACAGGCCCTCCAGGCATGTAGCAGTCCAGTGTCTCCAGCACCATTTGTGCCCTCCCTGGGTGAAGAGCTGGGCACCTGGACCACATGCTCTTCTTTGCGCCCCTCCAGGATTCTCTATTAGACATTCTTGGAACCCCAGCTCCAAGGCCTCACTTCTCAGGCTCTCAGAGCCTCTGAGCCAGGGGCAGTCTCTCCTTGACCCTTTGCCCCGAGGCAGGCAACAGCCCACCCTCTGCCCTCATAGCAACCCAGCCAGGAGAGCCTGGCCTCCCTCGGACACTCCCTCACTGCCCTCCCCCAATCTCGCCTGGCCTTCTTCCTCCCCTCGCTCTGTCCCATTCCCTGGGCATTATATCTGGGGCCATGCTCTGTCTTTAATGCTCCCCAAGAACCAGCTTTCTAGAATCCAGCCACTTCTCTTGGGGCAGAAGAAATGGCCTTTGCAAGGCTTTGGCTGTGAATTCTTGGTAGGGAATAGGACTGGGGAAGATAAACCCAGTCCGGAGGGCAAAAATATCTCACCCTTTACCATTAGCAGAGCACCAGCTAGAAGGCCAAAAAAGGCCCTGGCCAGAGATGGGGGTGAAGACAAGTTCTAAAGCCCAGAAATGAGCATAGCAGCCCCTCCCACTTATAATATACAACATACTTGCATATCGGCCATCTCTTTGAATCCTCAAAACAACCTCGTGTGGTGGGCAGGGATTATCACCTGCACTGTACAGGTGAGGAAACTCAGAAGGGCATGAAAATTTGCCCAAAGTGTCAGGGCCAGGACTGAGTCTCCAACCTGCAGTTTATAAATCCAGGGCAAGACATGACCCGGGCCCCCACCAGCTTCATGATGTGCCTGGGAGGGAGACAGCAAGCCTCCTGAGGCCACCTGGCGTGCCCCTTCTCTCTCTCCAGACCCCACTTCTACCTGCCACACCCCAGAGTGTGTATGGATTTGCTGTAGACACACTCAAAAGTTACCTTTTTCTCCTTCAGCCAGTCCTGAGCACCCACTATGCGCCCTTCCCAAATGCACAGTAGGTGCTCAGGGCTGACTGAAAGAGGAAGAGGCAGCCCCTGAGGGTGTCTACATTTCCAACTGGGATGTGCAAGTCCATACCTTAGCACCCAGGAAGCCCTGCCCCAGATCCCACAATTTGCCTTATAAGGGAGGTTAGCCTAAGGCGCATCCCCCTAAGACCATACCTGGGGAGAAGCATCCTTCCTCAGGAAGAACTGACCTCTGTGAGCACATGGCATGTGGCGAGCTCTGAGCTAACGGTGGTCACACCAACCCTAGAACAAATCCTCTGGCAACCCAACATCCCACCTGCCACCAAGTCCTGTCAGTATCTCCCAAGGCCGGCCCCCTTTTCTCCATCTCCTCACCGTTGAGTCCCAGTTGTCCTCAACTTACCTGAAGCCATGGCAAAGCCTCCTACTGGTAGCACAGTCAGTCCAAGCCGCCCCCCACACACAGCCACAAGGAAGGCTTCAGGACCCAAATCTCATCCTATCACCCCTGCCAAGATCCCTGAAGGCCCCTTAGACCTAAACGGGGTTGCACGGTCTGGGCCTGCACTCCATCTCACACCTTTCTCTGTACCCTGAGCCACACCAGCCTTCTCTCAGCTCCCTTGCCTACCATCCTTTATTCGGCCTCTCCGTGAAACGTGTCCCCCCTCCCCTCACCTTGTCAGCTCATCTTCTTCCTTCAGATCTCAGTTCAAAAGCCTCCCCTGCGCCTCTGTGTCAGTTCTATCCATCGTACATTCTCACACCCTCTGCTGTACTTCTCCTTCAGGGCAGGCGTTTTCTCCACCAGTTGTAAGCTCTGGAAGACAAAGTGTGCATCTTTCTTCCTCTCCCCGCTTCCCGTCCTTCTCACCATCGCATCCCCAGCATCTGTCCAGTGCCTGGCCATCACTGATGCTCAGTAACTATGTGTTGAATGGATAGATGAATGAACCAACTCTATGAGGTAAGTACTGCCGCTATCCCTAATCTGCAGACAAAGAAACGGAGATTCTGAGGAGTTGAGTGGCCAACTCAAGGTCCTGCGGCTGGCCAGTGGTACAGGCAGGGTCTAGAGCAAGTCAGACTGCAGAGTCTGTGCTCTTCACCACTTCCGGTCCTGCACCCAGAATGCCGGCCTCAGTGTCTGTCTTGCTCTCCCAGCAGGCTCTCTGAGGACTGCTCAGCTGGCCACCAAGTCCTGGGGCTCTGGGGCTCTCCTCCCCAGAGCTGCCCCCAGAACCATGGAGAGTCTGAGTGAGCTACAGAACCCACTGCTGCCTCAGAACCCCGCACACCTCCATGGCCCCTACCCCTACCCCGAGGCTTCTCCCGCCTGGCCGTGCCGGGAGAAGATCTACTCCTACCTCCTGGGTGGTGCTGGGCCTGCTCACGCCCACCAGCTCCTGGACCCAGGATCCCTGCAGCTGGCCGTGGAGGCCTGGTACAGGCCCAACTGCCTCCTGGGGAGGGACAAGCTCAAGGAGCCCAGGGCAGACAGCTGCGAAACCAGCTTCACAGAGAGCAGGGAGCCCTCCGCTGGGCCTACGGAGCGGTCCACAGAACCTGGCCAAGCGGAAGAGGATGTCACCATCCAGACTGTGTCCTACGGGGTTCAAGAGGAGCTCCAAGGCCAAGAGGACGACCAGGAGGAGGAGGAGGAGGTGAGTATGTGTGTTTAAAATGCAGATTCTTGGGCTCACCTCCAGGTGCTGAGATTCTGTAGGCCTGGCTTGGGGTCCAGGAATCTGTATGTTACCAAAAAAAAGGCACTTCTGACACGGGTGCTATCTACACTTTGAGAAACACTAGCTTGGGCTATTTAATTTTTTTAAGATTAACTGCATTAGGGTATCTTTTTTATTGAAGTATAGTTGATTTACAATATTATGTAAGTAGGTGTACAACATAGCGATTCACAATTTTTAAGGGTCATGAATATTTAATTTTTTAATAGCACTTTTTGTTCTTGTTTTTTTTCTAGCTCAATCGAGAGATAATTTGTATATAACATTGTTTAAGTTTAAGGTGTATAATGCCATGATTTGATTCATGCACGTATTACAAAATGTTTACCACAATAAGGTTAGTTAACACATCCTTCACCTCACATAATTACATTTTGCTGTTGTTGTTATAGTCCTCTTTAAGCAACATACGTCAGTTTTGCTCCACGTAATCTAATATTTTCTACAAGGTGATTTTTAAGGGTTACATGGTATCCCGTTGTAGGTTCTTGCATCAGTTATTAACCCAATCTCCTGGTCATTGGGTGTTGAGACTGTTTCTAATCTTTCACAATTACTACCCTATGATGAACATTCCGGTACGTGTATATTTGTATTCTTTCCTAGTGATAAATTCCTAAGGGTGGAATCACTGGGCCATTCACTGTCAAAGCTTTTGGTGGAGAGTACCGAGCCCAACCCACACTCCCACTAACAACAGATGGTCTTCCCGTTGCCCCACATCACTGCCAATGGGTGATCCTGGGCCAGGTCACAAGAGCCCACTCATGTTTTGCAGAGTGATGCAACCTCGACAGAGAGTGAAAGCGAAGACAACTTCCTTACGCTCCCTCCCAGGGACCACCTGGGTCTCACGATCTTCTCCATGCTCTGCTGCTTCTGGCCACTGGGCATAGCTGCCTTCTACTTCTCCCAGGGGGTAAGAGCCCGTGGGGCCCAGGGCTTCTGCTCTGGCCACCCCGCTCCTCTGGGGGGCCTGGGGTCAGGGCCTGGCGGGCTGGGGCTGTTTGCTGGGCGTGGGGATGCTCCCTTTCATCAGCGCCTCTCTCTCCCTAGACCAGCAAGGCCATCTCCAAGGGGGACTTCCGCCTGGCCAGCACCACCTCCCGCCGGGCCCTGTTCCTGGCCACACTCTCCATCGCCATTGGGGCTGGTCTCTATGTGGCCGTGGTGGTAGCCCTGGCAGCTTACATGTCCCAGAATGGCCACAGCTAGTGGCCAAGAAGTCCTGGCGTCCTGACTCCCCTGATCGACCTGAGGAGGCAGGGGGGCTTGGGGTAGCAGACTCTCTGGGAAGTCCTGGCCCCTGAAGACAGCTCATGAGCGTGGCTTATTGGGAGGAGGCCTCCCAGGCTGCAGCCTGAGGGGTGCAACCTTCACTTCTTCCTGCCTATTGCAACCAGCCTAAAGCAGGGCTGGGAGCATCACTCTCCAGCCCAGGCTATGTTGGGAAGCAGCAGAGGGTAGGGCTGCCCACCTGGCCATCCAGGCAGGACCTCCCTCTAGCTGGGAGTTCTCCCCATTCTGCTTATTTCCTAAAGGGTCTCCTGCCCTGCAAGCACCCCACTACCCGACTCCGTTAACCTCTCCACAGAGAAAGAACAGATTACAGGGAGGGAAAGGGATGCCTGGGGAGAAGAGGAGCTGACCCAGTCCTTGCAGCCCACAGGCATCTCCACCTGGGACACCCTGACTTTCCCCAACTCCACTCTCTGCCTCATGATGCCCAGACCTCAGCCAGCCAAGAGGGAAGTACATAGAGACATAGGGACCCCTTGGTCTTTCGGGTTCTGGAGGGTGCTTACCTCTCCTGTGGGCTTGTAAGACAGTGTAGATTCTAGGCAGAGAAGGGACATCTCGGATGTATAAACTCTGTGCTGAGGGCAGGTTCTTGGAGCGTCTCTGTGCAGGAACGAAAGGCAGATGAGATGACACAAAGCCTGGAGGGCCCTGGAATAGTGTTGCCCCTGTTCCCCCAACATCCTTTTCTAAGCTCCTCCCGGGGGGCTCTGAGCTGGCACCATCCCAGGTAGACAGAGAGAGAGTGCCATCAGCCCAGCAGCCACTGAGCACAGGACCCTAGATCCAGCCCTGTGGGAAAATAGCGAGGAGACCCTGAGTAGTGAGTGAGATGAGAGGAGTGACACAGGCCTGGCATGGCAGCTGAGCAGCCCAGGAAGGCTTCCTAGAGGAGGCGAGCAAGGTCTAGATAGATGAAGAGAATGTATCTAAGGGATACTAAGGGATGACCCTTAGTATTCATGGGCAGGGATGTGGCAGGAGCCTCCCAAGGGGGGTTCAAAGCTGTTTGGATTATGCCTAGAACATCCAGGCTGGAGCCAAACTGAGGGCTCCACCAACTCAAGGAAGAGGAAGGTCAGGCCTGTGTCTCAAAGGCCAGTAATGTTTTCCCACCTCTGAATGCTGGACCCCTGGTCAGCCTTGGAGCTTCTTCACTGGCACCCCGGCTCAGAGCTGCTCTTAACGCCCTCAACCTCTAGGAATCCTCCAGAATTCTAGAGACATCCAGACAGGCAGGAGGAGCACATTGTGAGGGCAGGCCTTTCAGAGTTCAAGCTATGGACCTCACTGTACACAATCTGTGGACCTGGTCATTCCCGTCCCCCATCCAGAGCTCGGGGCTATGAATCCACCAACTTGTCCCACCATCTCCCCTAATCCCAGGCGTTACCCAGCCCTCCGTTCCCTGCATCCCCTGAAGTCTCACAGGCCCAGGATCAGCAGTTTTAATGTCCCATTATTGTATATAATTATCCTTGTAATAAACATTTCTGTAACACCTGGTGCCCTCTGGGCCTCTTACTGTCCTCGCCTGCCTCCACCTTGGCCTGCATCCATTTCTTCCCCAAGACTGACCTCCATCCCCAAGCCTACTGCTCCTGGTCCCTAGCAGCATGTTCTTGAGAGCACATGCCCACATCCGGGCCTTAGGAGAAGGGGGAGGCACTCTGGCTTGGAGGACTTCTCTGCTCAGAGTAGCCTGGATGCAGGGTGATGGCGTGCATTTGACTCTGCGAGATAAGGCAAGGTCCATGCTGAAGAAAAATCCCTTCTAGACTCGAAGGCCTTGGAGATCAGGTGGAAGGGATGCGAGCCAGGGTGACTGAGGCTCCACTGAGCTGCCTGGAGCTATCAAGGGTGGACACAAGGTACGGGGTCACCAAGGAGCCCCATTCTGCCAATGCCCTCTCTAGAGTCCCTCATACCTCCCTTATGGGGGTTGTTCACGGGTGGTATGGGGAGGAAACCATCTCTGTCTGCCTCAGACCACAGCCTCAGCACCAAATGCTCTCGGTCCCAGGCCCCCAGGAACCTGCCTGGACTGAGGGCGCTGGCACACTCGCACCCACATGTGCCTACTTGCAAGACACAGCTATGGACACACATGTTGCACAGGCTGGGTACCCCTGAGACAGAGATTAGCGCATGATGTATGAGCATTAGGAGATGCTCTTGGGATAACATTTGAGGAAGGCTGATCTGAACGGCGGGGAGGCCAGGCTGCGATGCTGGGCCAACCCAAGGTGGGGTCTGGATCCAGGATGCCCTTCAGAGTTGACCCAAGGTAGGACGAAGGGCCAGGCCTTTATATCTGCTTATCAATCAGTCATTGGATGTGGGCCACCCAGAAAAGGGCTGTGACTCTCAGGCGAGGCGGATGTCTTCAGCTGGAGCTGCTCCCTAAGCGGGGTGTGCCCTGAAGGCTGATTGCCGACAGCACCTGCAGCAGCTGGAGGACTAAGCCCATCATTCCTGCGAGGTCCCGAGCAGCACATCACCGCGCCCGCCGCACCCACCAAGCGGCAGCAGACCTGGCGGTGCCACCGAGATCCCCTCGGCATTTGCCTCCCCACAACGAAGGCCGCTTCCTGGGAACTCTGCGATACTGGGCCCACAGGCAGGATAAGCCAAAAGTGACTTCAACCACTGACGGATGGAAGCTGGTGGACAAATAACCCCAGATTTCCTGGCATCTGGAAGGGAGGACACTAGTCGTATTCTCCACGCTCTCAGGGTTCCCCAGCAGGACTGAGCTTCAGTCGCCTGCAGTGGCAATTGGCTTAAAGCACGCCCCTTGCTGGCTGCCTTCCTGTCCCCATCTTCTTCCTTACTCCCCTGCTGCGCTTCCTGGGATCAGCTCCCAATAAACTACCTACGATCGAACCCTTGTCTCAGAGGGCCCCAGGGGAACCCAAACCAAAACACAGACATGCACGCACACGTGCACCTATACACACAGCATGTGCGTACTCACACCTACACACATACACACAGGCGCGGGCACGCAGCCGCGCACTCCTTTGTGCACGCGCGCACACGGGCACAGCCCACACAGGCACAAATGCTTCGTGCCCACACTCACGTGTGTCCACACGTATGGCACACACACATGCCAGGGGTGAAGCAGGAGACCCCGGCCCTGTCTGGTCTGCAGTGTCCCTGTACCCAGTCCCACTGGGCCCCGGCCTGGGCAGCAGGCAGCGCGGACTCCAGTCCAGGCCCTGCTCGGGCTGGGCAGGCTGCCTCACAGCCCTGACAGCTCCCACCTCCTTCCCAGCCCTGCAGAACGCTGCTCCAGGCCTGGAGACAAAGAAGCCGCCGAACGGTTTCCTATGTTCAACCCTGGTCCTGCTACCCACCTTCCTCACCCCATCCCCTTCCCTCAGCTGCAAATTCAGGCTCTGCAGAAGAAAATGGAATCAGAAACGTAGCCCCTAGGGACTTCACTCCCGGCCCCCTTGGAAGGGCCCATTCTGTGGAGCCTGGGCTCACCCCATCAGTCCCTGCCACTCTGTCAGGGCCCCCTCCCCTGTCACGCCGAGCCTCCGGGCATGCCTGGGGTACTTTAGGCCTCCTGCTTCCCAGCTCTGCCTGTGTCTCACTGCCTGAGGCTCCTGGGAAGCAGGGGGCTTGCAGTTACCCCACTTCCGGCTAGTTCCTCAGGCTGGCAGAGAAGCTGGGGGCAGGGAGGGTCCCCTGGGTATAGGTGCCCACGATGAGCTGCAGTGCCGGCACATCTGTGCAAATATTACCAATTATTTTCGTCACTATAAACACCCAGCAGGAAGGCAGGGAAGCAAACAACTCAAATTGTCTAAAATAGAAACCGAAATTGCTGCACAGGGAAGTCAGGGCAGCCGGCAGAGAAGGGGCCATTTACCAGAAATCCGGGGTCCCTTAAAGTGCACCTGCTAACCCAGCCCTGCAACCCCACCTCAACTTCCTCCTCCAAAGGCCAGGCAGAATGAGATTGGAAAGGTCATCACCTGGGGGAGGGGGGACAGGAGGATGGGGGCCCAACGGGCCCTGTGCAGGGGAGGGAGGATGGCTGAGAGGGGCAGACACAAAGGAAACAGGAGCCAGTGGTTCAGGGAAGGTGGGCTAAAATGCTGTGTGGAAAGGAGCTGCGGGGAGGAAGCCTCCCTTCACTGTACGCAAGGGCAGGGGGAGGAGGGGGACCCTCAGGTGGCAGGCCAGGGGCCTTGGGACGCTGGGCCAAGTGAGAACAGTGACCTGCCACCCACTCTGAATGAAAGGAATTCTTTTGATAGTGGAAATGGCTAGAAACCAGCTCCCCGAGGGGCCCAGCAGCCTTCCCTTTCCCTCCCTCCCTCTCCGCAAACAGGGTTGATAGATACCAGGTCGCTGACACAGTCACACGGGTTGTCAAAATGCTGAAACATTTCCTCACCAGTTGATAAACAGGCCCTGTCCCAATCCCCCCAAATATTTTCCTTTCCTGCCTTCCTGGTCCCTCCCCCAGGACCCTGATACGCCCCCCAGGAACCAAAGGGTTAACGGTGGGCACAGCTGCCCCCCTCCCCCAAGTGCTCAGGCAGCCTGAGCTGCCCTGACTGCTAAGTATCTCAGATGTCACCCCTGCCCACAAAGACATCATCTGTGTGCACACGGCCTCTCTCCTCCCCTAAGGATGCTCCCGGGGAGTGGGCTCTAGACAAACCCACCACTTCTCAGTCTGCCCTTGCATCCCTGCTTCTTCCAAGAGACATTCCCAGCACATTTCCTGGGTCTAGCCAGGCCTGAACCCCACCCAGAGGATAGGAAGTGGGTGTGCTGAGGCAGGGGCCCGTGGCCAGGTTGTCAAGAATATGAATCTGGAATGCTGCAGGGGGAAGGAAACCTGGAGGTGATCTAATCACAGTCCCTGATGCTACAGAAGAGACAACCAAGGCCCAGAGAGGGAAGTGAGTTGCCCAATGTCACACAGTAATTTATGAGCCAAACCCAGGCCTCGCCTCCCAGGCCCTGGAGTTGCTGAGCTAGGCTGGTGATGTCGCTGCCTGCTGTGGAGACGCTGAAAACCCAGGGAAGACTGTTGCCTCCGCTGTGAATATTAACAAACTGCTTCCCTGAGCCTTCCTCCCGGGCTGTTTCCTGCTTCGAAGACTGTCTCAGGCAGCCCCTCCCTGGGGCTGGTACCTCAGCCCTTCTGTTTTGGTGGCGTGGCAGGGTGGGGCGGGAGGGTGAGAGCTTTGCTTAGCCTGCCTGCTCCAAGCTCACAGCAGTCCCCGCCACCACCACGGGCACTCTCACATCCTCTCGGCAACGGGCGGGAGGCACTACTCTGGGACGTGGGGGACCCACAGAGACACTCAGATGTTCTGAACGAAAATAAAAGGTGCTCCTGCGGCCCACCTGCATTTCCAAATACTTCCAACCTACATCCCTTGAACTGCTCTCACCTCCCTCCCTCTAAAGGGCCGGGCAGACTTCAAAGCCACTTGTAGCTCCATGAGGAAATGACAGAGAAAGGAATTCCCAGAGGGCAGGGTGCCCCCAGAGGCAGCCAGGAGGGGGATAGAGGGGACAGAGGGGACAGAAGGCATGTTGGCAGCAGAGGGCAGGGCTAGCGGTGAGGCAGCAGGGGCAGGCCACGCTGACAGAGCACCTTTGGTGCACAAAAGACCTCCACTCGGGCTCCCTCTGCACTGAGGCAAGTGTTCCTGTCCCCATTTTACAGACTGGGAGAACGAGGCCAGCAAGGCTCTCTTTCCTCCTGGTGCTCAGTGAATGGTACCATCATGGTGCCTGAGCAGCTGACGTGGCTCCACCCTCACCCCCCACCCTCATCCCATCTGAGCCCAGCTCCTGGTCATTTTCCCCTCCTTCATCCACTCCAGCCCTGTCCTAACACTTCTGCTCAGAGCTGGCTGAGAGACGCAGCCTAACATAGTGGTTGAAAGCACAGAGTCTGGAGCCAGACTGCCTGCTTCGAATCCTATGCCCTGCTCTGTGCAACCTTGGGTGTTTTCCTGTGTGGAAAAGGGGCACCATGATGGTGACTACTGCAAAGGGTTGGTGCGACTATTACGTAAATTAACACTTGTATGGCTTCTACAACAGCATTAGGTGTCTAGTAAGTGCTATGTGGAATTTTTTTTTTTTTTTTTTGCCGCACCGCGCCTCTTGTGGGATCTTAGTTCCCCGACCAGGGATTGAACCGGGGCCCTCAGCAGTGAAAGGGTGGAGTCTTTTTTTTTTTTTTTTTTTTTTTTTGTGGTACGTGGGCCCCTCACTGTTGTGGCCTCTCCCATTGCGGAGCACAGGCTCCCGACGCGCAGGCTCAGCGGCCATGGCTCACGGGCCCAGCTGCTCCGCGGCATATGGGATCTTCCCAGACCGGGGCACGAATCCGTGTCCCCTGCATCGGCAGGCGGACTCTCAACCACTGTGCCACCAGGGAAGCCCAAGGGGTGGAGTCTTAACGGCTGGACTGCCAGGGAATTCCCTGGAGAATGTTTTTAACTATCTCCAAGGGACCACCATCCTAAGTGGCTTCCCTGCCAGAAGCCCCTCACCTTCCTCCACCCTGACACCTTCCACCGCCAGAGAGACTAAAGCCAGATCCTGGTGTACAGAGACCCTGCTGACTTCTCCAGGCAGACGTCTGCTGATAACAAGCTGACGGCACGAGCCTGTTTCTCGTGTCCCCCTGCCAAGAATTCCCTTGTCTGCCCTACTGCCTGACCTTTTCCTCCAAGCTGATAGAAATCTTCCAAGACACAGTTCTAGAAAATCCCATCTCTAGCACTTTCTGACAACTCTTCCCCACCGCCCCACCCAAAACCAAGTGGAACAAACCACCTTTCTTCATGAGCCATCACCACACCTGTTCACACTGATATCTCTGCCACATCTACAGCCTTTTGCTCCTCCGAGGATGGGACCCGTGTCTGTCTTGGCCTCGATAGGCCTGGTGCGGGGACTGCTTTCTGTAGACATTCAACACAGGCTCTCTGGGTACATCACTGGGAAAGAAGTGACTTGCCACACAGCTGGAGAAAGTTGGGGTTAGGATTCTTTCATCCGTGATTTCTCTCTCAGAGGGGAGAATCACCCACTTCTTCGGGGAGATGAGAGCTGGGAGGAGGGTCTCC